ATATATCTCTATATATAGATATATATCTATAAAATAAAAATAATTTTTTTCTTCCTAGGAGCTCCAGCAGCTTAGCAAGCAATACAGCAACATCAAACTCCTCCAACTGGGTAAGTAAAGGGCTTATACAGAAGTATGGTCAACTAAGCCAGGTGAGTGCATCTTAAGAAACTGGTCTCCTGGGGGATCAGTAGCTGTGCATGGCCTCCAGCAGCTCCCACTGATCACCCGCATATTAAGATCACACTGGGGAAACATAATCTATGTCAAGACTTTGTGCATTGTCATCTCCGTGTGCTGCCTAAATGTCCCCATTCAGACTAATGCCTTAGCTTTGGGTGAGCATGTGCTGTATAGGGACAGACAGCATGTGAACCACACAGTTCGCTCTTCACTGTGGCTGTTCTTGGCTCCTCTGTGCAGATGTGGTCTGTGAAAACAGCATCAAGAAAGTAGTCAAGGAAGTGGAAGAAATCGTGGGAGACAAAGGTCTGAACTGCCTCATTAACAATGCTGGCATCAATGTGCTTGCTTCCTTGGAAGAAGTCACAGCAGAGACAATGCTCACCATTTATGAAACCAATACGGTTGCTCAGCTGATGGTCACCAAGGTAAGAGTTGGGAGGAATGTGCTCAATCTATGGTACTGTAAGAGGCTTTCCTGCTAGTGAGCTGGACGTGTAACCCAAGCATTTGTTACCTTGGAACTGCACAGATAGAGGTCTGATACTAAACTGCATGCCTAGAGACCCATTCTGTCAAGGATCTTTCTCTTTATTTAAATCCATCTGGTATGAGGCCACTTCAGTGGACAGGCTGGGCTAGGAGATGAGCAGAGGAGACTGACGGTCCTTGCTACTTACAGCTGGCTGCCATAGGAAGGTGTCCCATGGCCAGCTTGGCTGGGGAACCATCACCATTCTGTGCTGGTGGCATCGAGTTGTACTGCAATTCCATACAGAACCTGAGAGTCCAGCTCTCAAGAGCAAGCTGACCAAATTAAAATAAACTCTCGTTTTTACAGGCGTTTCTACCCCTTCTGAGGAAGGCAGCCCAGCTGAGCACAGGAATGGGCTGCCACAGAGCTGCTATTATCAATATGTCCTCTCTTGCTGCCTCCATGCAACTCGTCCAGGCAAATGAGATGTTCCTCAAGGTCTACCCCTACAGGATAGCAAAGGTTTGTGGGCTTCCCTGGGCTGTGCTCACTGTGTGAGGGCAGGCTTGTGAGTTAAAGACCACTCTGAGCTTAAGAGGATGATCTGAGGTGTGCAGCACTTCCTTGGGTAGGCTGACACAGGAACTGTTCTTGTTGATCGTGTGGGTGGAAATGGGACCTGTGAAAGCTGTACATCTGGAGCAAGCATGGCCAACTCCTTAAGAACAGGCTCACAAATGCTCCTTCGCTACTCTGATATAGATCCATTTCAGAGGGACTTGGCATTCAGGGAAGAACTGATGCCATCAAGTGTGTGCCCTGTTAGCTGTGTTCAAGCGAGATAGCAGGCATGAAACTCAACAGAAGGTGTGCTGACCTGTACACGGTAATGCTAGTCAGTGAAAGGTGGAGTTTTTAGTTTTGTCACATCCGGAGACTGAGTTTGTACGAATAGTCAAGAGTAGACATGCAGTTTCTCCTACACCACCTACTCATAAGCTGTTAATGTGCTTGTTTTCCCTGTTCAGAAGTAAAAACCTGAATGTTTGTGTAGTGATTATTGCAGAAAAACAGAGTCCTTATGTCAATATTATCTTCCCCACAGCTCTCCTTAGGAGTTTCAAATGCTACTTTATCTTCCATCGTAACTTAGTTTCATCTTTGGGCAGTAAGCTTATGGTGATAGAGCTTTCACAATGCTTCTCTTAACAGGTATCTCTGAGAATGAAGCGCCCACTAAGTCTGGATAAGTTACTGGATACTGTTATTGCCCCTTTGCTTCTCAGGAAACAGCATGGTGGAAGGGAGGTGCCAATTAGCTTGGCTTAAGGTCTTGCTCAAGGTTGGTAAAACTAGCACACTAATAGATGGTTTCTACTCTTGTAGACTGCACTGAACATGATCACCAGGTGTCTTGCTGCAGATTTGAAATCGGATGGAATTCTCTGTATTTCTTTACATCCAGGCTGGCTTCAGACAGACATGGGTGGAAACATGGTAAGTGGTATCTCTCTGAAAATGTGAAAGTATGACTCCCTTGTTGTCCCAACTCTTGAGCAAGAACCCACTGTACAGTATACGCTTCCACATGCTGCAGAGGCACACTGTGAAACATGAAAACACATCCCACTTGATTCTAGTAACGCCTTAAATGCATTTGATTGATTATCTTCTGTAGGATATTCCTGGTAATAATCTAAACTCGATTTGCTCTAGGCTCCCATGCAGGTGCAAGAGGCTATCCCAGGTATTCTCTCCGTTCTGGACCATCTTGGTGAAAAAGAAAATGGTTCCTTCCTGGACTGGCAAGGGGAAACTCTACCGTGGTAGAAGTGCACAGTATACTACAGAAACAGCACGTCACTCACTATTTAACTTGTGCCACTAATGTCCGTGTCTCTAGGGTTCTCTTATATGCTAGTTGAAATAGCCAGTCTGATATCCAGCCTCTCTCTAGGTGTATTTGGAAAGTGAGGTGGCTGACTTTTTACTTGGTATTGCTACTGCTCTGTTCTAATGCTTCCTGCAAATTCTACTGTGCATGGGTATCTCCTGGAACCATCTCAAATAGATTAAAAACTGCCAGTTAAATCCAGGGGCTGGTTCCTCTTCACTTCCAAACCCAAAGTGGGCCTCTCACTCTCTGCAGAAGCAAATGACCTGACCTCAGAGTAAGGCCAGTGTAAGCTGTCATATTCCAGTATGTTCAACCTGCTGCAGACATGTCTCTGGAGAAGGTACTTCAGTTTTCTTCAGTTCTAACTGAGCCAAGGCTGAAATTTCTCAGCGCTAAACTACATGAATTTGGTACTTCTGTAAAGTCCTCAGCAAGCTCTGAGTGTCCCCAGTTGACAGCACACACCAGGCACTTGCTTTGTTCCCAGTAGGTGACTAACATCGTGATATGGGGGCGGGAATGTTGTTTTGTACATAAACTTCTAACATGTCTTCAATAAAGTCTTGTTTAAACAAATAGCCTGTTTACTAAACTACTTCAGTTAATTTCCCTGTATGTGGGTTTCTCTTCCCTGACCAGAGAACTGTACTTCTACCTTGCAAGAAGAAACTCTAATCATTGCCGTCTCCTTTGGGCTAGATGGGTTTAACGTGGTGGTGGGGTGTACCTGCAACTGAGGCAGACCCTTGTTCTGGTCTGAAATACTCAAAGCAGCTGGTGAAAAGATCTCTCTGTTCTGGCTGAGGTAGGGATAAAAGCAAAAAGTTCTTTGAAGTCTGGGACTGGCTTCAACATGGCTCCGTCATGCCAGCTGATTAGGCACTTTCATGCTGTGCCAGGGCGGTGGGTTCCTGCACCAGGTAAGGAAAGACAAAAAACAGCCAGGTAAGTGGGAGAGACGGGTGCGGCTGGTCCTGGGCCGCAGCCACCGCGCCCCCCGCC